GCAAAATAAAATATGATGAGCCTAAACCAGACCATTAACAGTCCTGGTTTAGACATGGAAGGTTACATGCATCCCCTATGCTGCCAAAAAAATCCTTTTCTGTCTGTAGCCTGTGCAGGTACAAAAATGTTTAACATCATAGAAGCATGTTTCTCCCAACCCTGATAACTCTGAATATACAGATGATGTAAATAGCTGGCACATGGATTAATAGTGTCTCCTCCAGTTTCACAATTCATTTGACAAAAAATTTATGAGGTGTTGCCTTGAAGCTAACAGATCCACAGGATTTTGGGTAACAGTCTTAAAATAGGCAGTGTGATGAACTGCATTTAAATAAGATGATAAAATGATGTGTTTTGAAAGCCCTGATATTGCTCTGAAGGAGGAGGGTCCCTAGGTATTGGAAATGTAAATATTCTAAAGGTACACGCTGTTTGGAGTATCTGCTTTGTCCCCATGTAGTTAACACGACTGGCCACATCCCAATTAACTTCTGTAAGAATTGACAAAATATCTTTACCCCTACAGACAGAAGGAGAGAATAAAAAAGTTACTTATTAGTGAGCAGATGGCAATCCATTTAACACCTCCCTGAAAAGCTAGAATATACACTATGAACAGTTAAAACACAAAAAAAGAAAACATCCTTTTCTCTAAATTTCTCCTCTTCTGTTCTCATTTGAGTCATATAAAAACAAAAGACCTTTTCTTGCTTTGACTTTCTTGATTTAACCTGTAAAGAGAAACAATGGAATAAAATATTTTTACCTAAATCCACTCAAGAAACAACTCTGCCTTAAACATTATAGATGGGAGGCTTTGAGGGTTTCTTTTACAATAAACATCATATTCTTCAGATTATCTCTATGGTACTAGCAGTGTTAATGTAAATTTATCAGTGTAAAACCATCAGTTTAACCAATTTTGTCCACCTTAGAACATGGGTTAGTGTTCCTATACGAATTGCCTTTGGAGAAAAATAATATAATCGGAGCACTAAGCAAAGTTCACAGTGAAACTATCGGATGTTAAGACATCTGAGTTGTTTTTTTTGAGAGCAGTAGTGAATACCTGGAGCAGGTGATTTATTCTGATCCACTGGAAAAGGATGCAAGCAGAACAGAGACCTAGAAGTGCAAAAACCTCCCACACTACCAGTTTTTTTGCTAAGACTTAAAAGTTACCTCCCACTCTTAAAAAGGACCTTTTTAAAGCTGAAAAGTCACCAAAACTTAAATACCATGTATTTAAGTCCAGCTTTGGGTTGAAATAAAAAACTCCATTTACTCCAGTTCCTTTCTGCTCACTACAAAGCAACATACACCTGCTTTTATGCATTTTAGTAGGACAAAATGAAGGCAGCACTCCAAGCTCCTTCAACAGCAGCAAGAAATACTTTTGCTACAGCACTCTGAACATCAGGTGATGAAACATATTGAGATATATTGAAATATGTTGAAATATGATGAGATATGTTATAGCACAGAAGTTCAAGAAATTAAATAGCTATAAATAAATGGAACAGCTTGCTCCCTCAATATCCATAGTCACCACAAGGAAAAGGCCAAAGGGAGAATTCAATGCATACACAGCTGTACTAGGTTAAAGAGTGCACATAAGGCTTGTAAGAAGGGATCTCACAAAAGGGACCTTTTCTCAAGTACCAAGACCTCTGCAGTAGCTTACTAAAAACTCCTGCCTTCTTTTAATCCTTCTAACAAGGCCTTTGCATGCTACCCCTTACTGCTTTTAGTTTCAAGATGCCCTGAGGCCTTTTCTAAGTCAGATTCAAAAAGTGAGAACTATGAAGCTCCATTTGTCTCTGCGTCTCGCACATTCTGCTGCCATCTTCAAAATGCAAACTTAAAATAATGCCAGATGTTTTGCCTTTATCAGGTCCTTCAGTGCCTTTTGGATAGTAGGCCTTCAATCTTTTGTTTAGAGCAGCTGGAAGCAAAGGTTTCTACATGAGGGAGCACAAGAAGAAAATCAGGAAAGCAGACAGAGATAGAACCTATGTATCCAAAGCCTTTGAAGCATCTGGGAGGACAGCTCAGCAGATAAACCACAGAGGATATCATAGCACATAGGGGCACAGAGAATAGTCTGTGGCATTTTTGTGTGCAGAGGCAGATAGAAAATATAATCCCCAAGTCCAGATGCCAAGTTAGGAAAACAAGGTTTGACAGAACCCAGGAATCCTGAATTGTGTCCTGTCCCTAAGTCACAAGATAGAACCTGTGCATAAAATCAAAAAAACAGGTCAGATTGCTTTTTCCTGTATTCAAACTTACTCTCTCACACCTCAATAACTGTTTTTCGCATTCCTTCTCATATGAAATCCCATATATTGTGACACCCTTTTCACTTAAGCTGCTATCAGAAAGGCTCACCTCTCAGCCTGTTATCTACACAAATTATGTCAGACTTAAATTAATTTAGCTAAAGCCTGCTCTAAACCCCTATCTAGATACTTTACTCAACTACATTTAGCAGAATAACTTAGATTAAACTGATTCTGTCTAAACTAACAAGCCTATATAGTTTCAAACGGAATTAAGACAATTCAGAATTTAGAGCCAATGATTTCAACTTAAAGACTTTAAAAAAATCATTGCTTTAGAACAGGAGCAAGTTGTGAATACACTGGCTGTACACAGTCATTTCATCAGCAAATCAAACAGAAGCAAGATCACAGAATCATAGAATGGGTTGGAAGGGACCTTAAAGATCATCTAGTTCTAATGTCCTGCCATAGGCAGGGATGCCACTCAGTGGATCAGGTTGCTCAAAGCCCCATCCATCCTGTCCTTGAACACTTCCAGGAATGGGCATCCACAACTTCTCTGGACAATTTGTTCCAGTGCTTCACCACCCTCTGAGTAAGAATTTCTTCCTAACATTTAATCTAACCTGTCCTCTTTCAGCTTAAAACCATTGCCCCTTGTCCTGTCATTACCTGCCATTATAATGAAAGGGGCTGTTAACACTGTTAAAAGGGGCTGTTAAATATTGTTGCTTAGCTTGCCTGAGAAACGTGCCTGAGAATCTTTAGATAAGACACATAATTCTGTAAGTAGATAGGATGCATGTATCTTTTATGTATGGCTTAAAAGGAGTTACCAATCAGACCCCAGCCTTCAAGGCTGTGAAGCTGGCCATCCAAGACGATAAGAACATAACACCAGCAAGAACCAGCTTCGAGGTTAGGAAACGAGACAACGGACCTTGAGCATGTGCCAACATATGGGGAAGGCTATGAAACGACCAGTGGAGGAGGTACAATGACCACCTCAGGGACTGTGTTTGTTGCAAAAGGACAGAAGATGGCAGCAAAACACCATAAATTGTAATAAGCAAAACAAATATGGGAATAGGTGTGTTTATGCAAAATATTTCTGAGAAATGGGAAATATAAGCAATCTGTAATTAAGTAAACATCAGTAGTACTTACGGAAGGAAAATCCTCAGTGCAACCCCAGTGCTGCTAATAAAGAATCCTTGCTTAGCAGTGATCAATGACTCATTGAGCTGCTCTCAATGACGACTTCTCCCAGTAGGTACTCATATCTGGGCTTGCCCTGACCCCGGTGCAATTGATCCAGCCCAATGGACCTTGATCCAGCTCAAACTCCTTCATCTACCTTTAAAATAGTTTCCAAGTCTGTGTTGCTACCATTCTTGGAAAGATTTTTTCACTCCAACCATTTCCTGCTTAAGTTTGGAATTACCCTCAAGACCTCTCCACATATGCTGCATTTGCGAGCTGCCCATAAGCTCCCTCTCTCTACAGGAAAAGCACGTACTGCTGGCTCACCACCTGCTCACCCACTCTCAGCTTACTGCTGTGGGGTTTTTAGAACCCTCTACCACTTTGTGCATTTTACAGGTCACTTACAAAACATTGTGGTAAAAAACAGGGTCCTAAAGCAAAGGCGAATGAGCAAACAATCCAGTAACACTGGGTGATGCTGAACACCCAGCACTCACACACATGGGGTGCGGGGTCTGCTCGCCAGGCTTGGCACAGCTCACCTGAACACTCACGGCTGGACCTAGCAGGGCATCACACAAGGAAGTAATGAATCAGCCTCTCTGTGTGCTTCGAGATGCACCCTCAGAGAAGGAAAATCACATAACATAAACAATAAGGGTTACAAAATTACTATTTTTTTTTCTTTGAAGTTTTACTGACTGGGGCACTGCCCCAAAGATTTAAGACTAACGCAAAGCCACGGAGCGCCAGGGAATGCTGAGGCTCAGCCTGCAGCCCGGAGGCAGCCGCACAAAGAGTGAGCAGGATTTGGGCTCCGGGCTCGCGAGTTGGAGCCTGCCTTCGTTCTCTCTCCCTTTCAGTCCCCCCTTTTGGTGACTCTTACCTGAATTCCAATCCCGACCCCTCTCCCTCAGGCTCAGGACCCGTGAGCCACCAGGGAACCCCGCAAGGGACTTGGAACAAAGCTACATACAATGCCTCTGGCAGGTAATACAAGACCAGTGAACTCTTTTCGTCTTTGCTGCCAAGCCACTTTAAAGCAGGCTACATTGCAAAAATGGCTCAAACATCTCAGCCATGTTTTCTTTTTTTGGTAAAAGGAAGCTTGAAGAACAGTGCTAGTGGGAGAGGGCTGCACGGCCATTTGTGTGCAGGTCTGTGCATCCCCCCTCCCTGCAGGAAGGAGTGGGGGAGGAAGGTGAGCAGCCTCTGCTCAAAGCAGGCTCCCCGGGGCCTTCAGCAGTGTGTATCCCCCCCATACCCTCGAGTCAGTGGAGACAGGATGGGAAGCGTCTCCTTGCTCATGCTGTTTAACACACCAACAACAGCCGAGCTACCTGTTGAAACTTTAAGGCTCGGTGTCCTTTGTTCAGTCAGCTCATTTTTATAGAGCTGGAGAACTCCACAGCCAAATTTAACAAGCTGTAGAGGTCTACAAGATAAATCAACCAAGAATTTCAGAATTACTCTGTGTTCTAAAGAGAGATAGAGACAGTCAGTCTGACTGCATCCAAAAATTTTATTCAGAAAATCAGCTTGAAATCCACCATTTGGATTGGCGTGCAATGTCTTCTTGATTCTAATACAGAAGCTGAAAAATAGACATTCTTCAAAACAGCCACAGAAAAGCTGTTAAATAATTCAGTACAGTAGATTTATTTTAAATGGACCATAGTTAGAACATCCATACATATAGCAGCCTCTTCTCAGCAATATCATCTGGCATGTCAGAAACTTAAAACTCCAGACAGCAGAAAAGAATTCACAAAAGCTCTCAAAAGGCTTCTCTGTAAGGTATCTGTATCTCAAAAGGTATCTGTAACAGAAGTCACCTGTCATGCAGAGTTGAAAAGGGAGATCAGACATACAACATGCTCCATCTACAACTGCTACCATGTCCTAGCACCTCTTGAACTTAACTTCTTTTTTGGATAATGAGCTGGCAAACATCGTAATACACAAGTATGTAACAGTACAAAGTAAACTCCATTTATGGCTCAGCCATGTCAACGTAAGTGGCTGAGAAAAATCATGCACATTAAGTCTGGTACAACACACCACAGAATCTCCTGCCTCATGAGTACACCTTCTGAGCCATCAAAAGGCATCATTTATATTCTGCCAATTTTCTTTCCCCTCTTCCACATCTATAGCACATACAGAACTACAAGAAATTTCTATTCCAGTTACCAGAAACCAAAACTGAAATTAAGTGCCACGAAGCAGTGAATCTGACAGCCATATTCCAAGCAATGACAATGCAGGAGCAGAGTGACTTGTTTCACCTTGTTAAACAGCAGTTTCTGAAAACTAGACATTTTGGCAGTCCAAGACCATGAAACTTCACCAGCATGTCGCTTTTTATGTTCCTGTGCTAGCACCTTGAACTCATGATGGCTCCAGAATTCATTCTCTTCCCCTTTTGGCTACTGAATCATTTAACCTGAAATCATTTAATTACTCTGTCCGCAATACAGGTACAACTTGATGCAGCCTACGCCCTTTTTCCTGTTTTCTTCTCCTACGAATATTGATACTATATTTCTCCTCCAAATCATCTTTTCCCTACCTGTTCTTCTCTTGATGCTCCCTACCATTCCCCTTTTTGTTCCTGCTTACATTTTCCATATTTGTTTTCCTTATCTGCCTCCTCTCAGTTCCATTCTCCCTGCTTTTGGTTGTCTATAAGGTAGAAGTGCTCATCACATGCAAAAGCTAGTGAGGGAAATTGGAAAGTGAAGTTTACTCGTGAAAGAGATCACGTTTGTTAACATCACTTAGATATATATATATGACTTGAAATGACAACTTATTTCTACAACCACAGAAAACATTTGTTTCACCATTTGCTTCATTTACCAGCCCTCATAGGAAGTAACTTTAAGATTCCAAATATGTCATTTTAGTCCTTCTCTTTCCCCATTAGAAAACTACACCAGAAACCAAGCAAGGCATGCCAAGGCCTTGAATTTTTTCCCTGGATAGCAGACTCTATTAGGAATATCAAAAGTTTGCAAGTGGCCTACTTTAGGAGGGACAACCCATACAGGTTATACTATTATACAACAAGCAGATTAACTGAACTTTTCATGTTAGGCACTTACTCCACTGGAGAAAAGTTTTTCTATTTATGGAATGTGTGAATCACGTTTCAGCTTCCACAAAACATCTGCCAAAATCTCCCATTTTTTTAACTGTGTGGTAGATTATTGTAATGTCCTGCCACATTTAGACTCATTTTTGCATCAGTGGAAAACTTACTTAGTCCAAAACATGGCAGACTGTCTTATTTAATATAGAGCCCTTGTGTGCTGTGGACAGTACTGATGACACAACCTCTAAGGCAGCAAGCAGATGGAATCCAGATTATTAAAAAGGCCATCTCTCTCTCTCTCCTGTTTTGGTAGTCTGTGGAGGCATGCAAGCCACAACTTGTTAATGAAGAACTAGCATTACTATGTAGGAATTCTTTCCTGACACATTTGCCATTATTAGGTGCAGGTTTGCTCTGGCTTGTATTTGTTTAAGCATTAACTGCTAACAGGTATGCTAAAAAACCACCAATAAAACAATAAGGCCACTTTAGCTTTGTTGGAAAACCCAACAGCTATACAGTTTAGAGTTCTTCTCACTCTGTTTACCTGTTGTATTTAGTTGCAAGATCTGTTGCAGTGCTATACAATAGCTACCATTCTCACCCAAGCTTTCAGAGACTTCGCTAAAATATAAAATCTAGTGTCTTAACGCACAAAAATGCTTCCAAATTCTTGGGTTTGGAAGCAACAGGCACTTTAGATATACATGAAATAAAATGCATAAAGTAAAAGTATGTGTGAAACTGTTCGGATCATATTAAATACTTCTTGTTAGAAACTTCAGACGTCCTTTCCAAGAGCAGTTAAGTGGGAAAAAGAAAAAGTTCTTTCGTCAGTGTGTGTTGGAGCAGAAGTGAGTATTGTTGGCATGGGTCAGCGGTCTCATTCCATTTATAAACTTTTCCATTCAGTTCTGTATGGATATCTGATATAGGGAGTTTCCTGCAGCAACAAAAGTAAAAGCATTCCATTAGAGAATAAAGCAAGACACCATTTAAGAATCCACAAGAGAGAACACGACTTTAGACTCAGCAAGGAGAAAGTTCCAAATTTCAGTCTTTACTGCAGAGACTAGACCTCTAAAACACAATGCTGAAGATGCATTTTGAGACAAACTGTTATAAACCAAATCACTGTTGTGATATTAATTATGCTGATATGATGATCTGTGATTTCAAGACAAGGTTTTGGCATTTGTAAAAAGGTACTAAATGTTAATGCTGCAACTACCTTGAAAAACAGCTGTTAGCTCCCTGATAGATCATTTGTATAGAGAAAACCTTTGTTGTTAAGTTATACATCCAAATGTCTGTGACTTTTGCTCAGGTTCCTTTTGATCTCTTTAAACAGAAAAGTTTTCTGACAGTTTAAATTCAAGAATACTGCCAATCTAGTGGCTGAGTGAAGGATAAATTAAATCTACAAAAAGCAGAAAATCCTTCCCTCTCTACAGCCTTTTTCCTGAACTTAGGCACTGATTTTTTTATATTTGCAAGAAGAGCCCTCCTTAATGGTACATGGCAATCCTCAATTTAACAGAAGCCTGGAATGTGCCTTGTTATCTTGGAGAAGGAAGATTTCCCATCCTCTCTAAAGTGCTGACATACATTATCCAGGACTCCCTTCTTACTCTGCAAACCCCAGTGCCGTAACACACTTTAATTTTACTCTTCACAATCAGAAACTTCATTCCTACCTCAGGCTACTCGTCTTTTAGCTTATGACACTGCATGAAGACACTTTACAGGACCAGATGGGATGGAACTTAAGGTTTCTCTTTCTCAATGACAACAGGCTGTCATAGGAAATGGGTTATTTTTTTCCTCTTTTTCTAATTTACCTTATGTAAGGATCACGGAGTAGCTCAGCCAGACAATGCAGATAATATGAGCATGAAGTTGAGGATTTTTCTAGTGTAGACACATCCACCTTACAATGACTCCAAAAGATGTCTGCTCCTCGGGGGATAATGACTTTAGTAACGATATTTTTATCATTCCCATCTACTTCCAACAGACTAGTACATTCTTGCTCATTTTCTGGCACAATGTAGCTCTGAATAAAAAAAAGCTTTGGTTTTCCTAGGAGTCCAGGACATGAGTCTGGTGTGAAGTAATTTTTTATTTGTTCCAAAGGGAATCCAGAGCAGGTAACGTCTGTACAGAAGATGCCCTGATGACTTCCACGGCTGACCAATATGCAAATGAAGCTGTCATAATTTCTGTGCTGCTGCAACCTTGACACGTCAAGCAATGTTTGCTTCGTGGTGGCAATATTTAAATATCTGTGACAATGAACATCATAGCCCAAGCCTCTGAAGGTCTCTTCCAACACATCTGAAAGAAGCAAGATGTAATTAAATCATAGCACACTGAGGCTCAATCTCAACTACCTCGAATTACCATATTTACATTGTTTTGCTATTGGAACTAAGTAGTTCATCACAATAATTAAAAAATCAGGAGTATGCAGTGTTGATCACAGTACATTACATACTTATAGTGCTATATGCATGTTGTCTTTAACATGAGTTATCTACTTCATGATAACAAAGACAGTATTATTTGGCACGTGATCTGTTCCAAATTCCACAGACCCTTGCATACTTCATTTAGAGTCAGTATCCCAAGTTCCTAGGACTTAAAATATCACGCAAGAAAAAACATTAGAAAATGTTTCATATACTTGAAATGGTAAGGAATTATGTGAATAGCATGGGAAGTCTGTTTCCTCTTTTAACTGGTCAAAATTACTCTGAATGGTTATTACAGATATACAGAAGTGCATAAAAAACACAGAGGCTCCCTTACATCAGTCAAAAATGAACCTTCTGCAGTCATTTATGCTTCCTACTATATAAAACAGACTTTAAGTAATCAGTCCCAGGTGAAGAACGGACACCGGAGTCTTAATGGTGACAGAATGTCATTTTTGGGGAAAAAATAAACCTGAACGAAGAACCCTTTCAAATGAGTTAGAAATTAAAACTGTAGATAGCCAAATCCCGAGATTTAACTATATCATATTTGTGTTAACCTGTGCTGCAGGAAAATGTGCTAAGTTCTAAATAACTACTTTGATGATTATTAATATGGGAATGAAACCAGATACATGGTGGTTAAAACCACAGGTATTAAGTGTTCAGAGAACCAAAAGCTACTACTACAACTCATACCTATACCATTCTATCTTTACTATAAACCACATACATACATCGCCCATGCACAGTTTCTGATATGAAAGTAAGTATCAGGTGCCATGTTTACGTAAAATACCTTACACACATAAGGAAGTCTGACTGACTTCAAAAGTTTAACAATCCCTAACTAGCAGAGGCTACTTCAGAGGTAACTGGCAGCCAAGCAGCTGTACTACACACTGTTCTCCTCAAAAAGCCCATAGTGAAAACAGGGAACAGAACTCATAACTTTCCTCAGAAAAATACAGGGCAGATACAAACCCTTTACTATAGTGAGGTAACAAACAAAAACTATAGTTTCATTCCAATTCTGTTGGTTTGATCAAACTTTGTAAAATAATTCAAAAACTGTCCAGACTTCTTTAATTCGAAAATGAAAGGTAAATCCCCTCTACTGCATGCAATAAAACATGCTCTCAAAATTCAGGTACAAGATTCAGTATCAACACGGTTTGGCAGTTACATACTCGATGAAGCACTCCATCAGGTAGAGGGCAGCAGTACATACACAAAACAAGAGGGTGATTTTCCTGTAATTTACTGATCTCCCTGGCACATGCACATACACAGAGACACAAAACCTGGTGTCACCTTAGTCCATTCACACACTTAACTGTGACAGTTTAAAAAAGAAAACAAAACCCTCAACAAACTTAGAGCTGACACCTTAGTTTAACAATGAATCAGAAATTACACATGGTAAGCCTTGGACACTTTAAGGCAAGACAAACCACAGGAAAGCAAAAAAGCAGGCAGCAGGACAGAGCAGAATGTTTGATTCCAAGAGCCACCAGCCCCAGTCCTTCAGTCCTTGGAAGACTGTCTGTTTTCCTCTTGAGACAAATTCAGGGGTTTTTTTGTTTTGTTTTTTTCAGAGTAGAAGTGAGAAAGTGCTTTAGTACTTTACAATGAACAATATAATTTCTATATGTAGCAACTGCATCCTTGTTCTTCTGGGTTTTTTGGGGGGGATTTTGTTTGGTTGGTTTTGGTTTTTTTCCTTCTCCATAGATCAGTGATGAACTCGGTAGTACAGACCAAAATCTCAAAGATGCTTCCCAGTTGCATGTTAAGTGCCTTCCTTTTCCCTCTTATCCATGCATGGCAGGATTGTGAATCAGTTTTAGCTCCTGTTATCCTAATGGCAAAATGTCTTGGTTTCTATAATTTACCCAACATATTATTGTCAAGCAAACACAAAAATTTTGCTTTCCACATCCACTGCTCTTTAAAAACTACATGAATAATTCTAAGTTGGTCCATCTGCTGGATCATTACATATGATAAAAACAAAAGATATGTCCACAAACCCTCTCCTTCCCCTACGTCTCCTGCCTACTACAGAACTGACTGCAACTACTCTCTTCACTTTTATTTTTAGCCTCAAGTGCTACAGTGGTTAGAGACTGAGGGATTTTTCTGCTTCTGCAAAAATCTAATTCTTGGATTCTATAAAGGCCATCAGAAAACCCCCATGTTTTAACCATGGCATTGACTACAGAGACAGCATGGTGATAGTTTCAGTTAAACTGCCCAAGGTATGACAGAAGCCTGCATTATTAATAAACGAACACGTGACTACTCAAAATCTATGGTGTCCTATATGATTGCACTTCAAATCCACAACAGCCTTGGTTCTGGTTTTCTTAACTGGTGGGAAACACTATCTTTACCATCTCTGCCAATAACCTGCTGTATGACTGTAGCTTAATTATTCTGTAGGTCTCTGAACATCCTTTTTCTCCCTCCCAAAATTCAGTCTACCCTCTTCAAGTTCTTTCATTCAGAGATTCTGCACCAAAAAACCAAACTAACACTGCTTGCAATAGTTAGAGGGACAGTTGATTTTAACCTCAGGTTGGGCCTTCCAACTCCCTGCTTTAGAAAACTTACTAGAATTGGTAGACTAGCTGACTAGGACAACATTACCCTAGTCTGGCTGGTAAATGTACAACATACTCTTTATATTAAATTGTTCTAATTATTAACAAGTTAAGGAACTTCAAATTCCAGAGACTTACCTGCATCATTGCCAATACAGTCTATGATCAGGCATATTCCTAAAGGTTGACTTTGCATTCTGTAAGGTTCATCAGTCCCCTGAGGAACATGAGAGGACAATTAAAAAGTTAACATGTCGCTCTCTCAACTTACAGACCTTACTGTTTTCTCAAATTTTAGCACCTCAGATCGATTAAATTATATTTAGTTGTTTTCCATAGAGTAGCTAGCAGAAATCTATCTACTGGGATGTAGTTATGTCTTATTTACAAAACAAAAAAATCAGGAGAAATGGACTAATAATTCTTTCCCCCTATTTCTAGTACAGGCCTAATTTTCGTTCCCCTGCGTTATGCAATCCCACCACCATAAAGATCCTCAGAGACTAAACTATACCAAAAATGATAGAAGCAAGTCTGAAATGAACCTTACCTCTAAACAGATCTTCAAGTCTGTCAGGTTTTGGGGTTTTTTGCCATATGGGGTGGAGGGGCTTTTTAAAGCCCTGCACTATGACAGCAATGATCTGTCTATAGTACTTCCAAATTAAGTATTTATTTAAGTATAAATTAAATACTTATATAAGTATTATAATACTGTCTTTGCTATTGAGATGTTGGGAGCTACAAGCTTCATATTGCCAACACAATAGAGAACTTTAGTGTTCTTCAGGTGTGCAAGTAAGCACTGCTCATCAGAACATTTATGTCCTTATTCAGTGGAACAACTGCCTTGCTCCTAAATAATCTGTACTGACTATCACAATCCCTCTCCCCTCTAAAGAGATTAAAATCCATTTGCTACAGGTAACTCTGTTGTTCCTGTCCTACAGGAGAACTAGTGAAAATAGCAGTAGCAGTAGTCCATTCTTATCCAAAGCATGTCTGTCTCCTGCCTGGAGCAGCAAGGGGTGAGGAGGGAAGCATAAACAAAGTTTGCTGCATGCAAAGAAGCCCCATGACTTCTAATGAAGATGGCAAGAGAGGTCTGACCTCCAACAGGTTTTAACTTGGCCTCCACTAATAAATGTACAAGTTCTGTGTACACACCACACATACATGGATTTTGCACACCGCTGCTTCCAGAGTAGCAGCAAATTTTTTGTTTTAAAAATATATTCTGCAAAAGCAATTCACAGAACCTGTTTATGGCTGAGGGTGTACACATTACTCTGTCTGCACACAATGAAAGGAAATCCCAAAATGAAACACCCAGAAAACCAAGGTAAGTTCTCACAGAGGTTATTATATTCACATGCATACATATGCACAAGCACATACCTTATGTGACGCTGATCCCGATTCCTGAATGGACATGGGAACTGGTTCTGCTGCAGTTAAAATATACAGAAGTAATCTCAGTACATAAGTACCAGTGAGATTTCTTTGACACCAGATCAGTTATAAAGAGGAATGTATCTCACTCATCTGGACCTCTTAGATTCTATGTACGCCACTGAAGCTTAAAAATCCTTAAACTCTTCTCCTCTAAATTGTCATTTGGATTGCATTTTACATTGCTTGTGACTAGAATAAAAAAAGAATCTCTCCTACACTGAGAGAATTCAGCCAACTACTCTTAAAAATCACCATATTTGAGCAGTATTTGGGGTTTCCAGAGAAAACACGATATACATGGATAGAACCTGGTACTAAGGATAGTCAATCTTATCCATGGTTTTATTAATAAAATATTTATTCTGTTAAAAAGCTGTGACAGTGGAAACCCACAACAATTTTTAATAAAGTTTTAAAATGTGGCAGCACAAGCAAAGCAACTAAAGACCAAATAATAAGGCCAGGCTCAGTTTTCAGAGGTACCAAATACTCTCTGCTCCTGGTGTTATCAGCTGGATTAGCCATAAACACAACTATCAAACAACAGTCCTTTTGATACAAAGAAATTAATCATTTGGCTCTTTTAGATTACCAAAACTTAGATAAAAATGCTCTTACCCAGGGTTAGATTTAGTCCATTTTGTAATTTTTCTTTGCTCCCATTCTGAATCTAAAATGAAGAAAAAGAGCATAATTTTCCCTTTCTCCTTAAAGAATTAATAATCATGTGTTCCAAAATAAAACACAATAGTATCTCTTCCTCAATAAAAGGATTACATGTTTTAGATTCATGTATATCACCTAATTAGGACTACAAAATAATTAATGAAAAAATCCTACCGAAAGCACAAACAAACAAACAACTCCAAAATTTTTGTTCCTCAGAAAAAAAATTACCAGCTTGTCATGATCAGCAAAGAAAAATTTATTCCCTAATCTAGTAAAACAAAAAAATCTCAACAGATGTGAATTTTGTTTCCTGTAGAGCAGCAGGGAACATTTACTGAACATGTGACAGAATTAATCTCATAAAATTTACCAAGACTAAAGACTTTAAGAAAGGTCATACTAATACAATATCAGACCTAACTCAAATATAAAGAATACTGCAAGGAATAGGATTTGATGACTTTTCACGTACTGACATATTTTCTTAAAATGAGATTAAAACGAACCACAAAAAAAATCTGAAAAATTCTTCTTAAAAAGCTCTGATCTCCAGATTCAAAAATTAAAAGCTACTTTTCCTGCAAGGTCCAGCGGTACAAAGAAGAATAATATGTTTTGTAAAGACCAGTCAAAGCAAAAGTCTACTACAGTGTAGTAGAAAAAACCTTCAAGATACAGATTTTATATGTTCAACTAACAGGAAAAAATTCACAGGACTTCTTTAAAGAGGACCTTTCTCAGTCAGAAGATTTAAATCAGACCCTAAACCCAGCAAATAGCAGAAATAACAGAAATAAACCAAGTAGTATTTTAGTCACTAGCAATCTCTCATTCCTCAGGTTCTGAAAAATGAATCTCCTTTTAACATCTGGCAATATTCAGAAACAAAGGATTTGTCTGATTTCTGGTATACTTACCCCTGAATTGTAAGGAGGATCAATTAGATTGAGATTAGTGAGAGATGCCTGGCGTGCATTTACATACACTGGCTGAGAATGAACGGAGGACATTAAAGCTGCAAATTTAACAGAAACACACAAATACACCATGATATATCAACTGTTTTAAAAACCTAAATCTGTGAAGCATGTAAATACTCTGATTTGTAACTCATAGTTTTATTTTCAGTAAAAGCACATCTCATTCTTGCTATCAAGAGTAACCACTTGCAAAAATAGCATCTTACCTTTGTGTTTGTAGTTCTGAATCTTCCTAATCAAATCTATCCTGTGAATACTTTGAAAACAGTTTTCTATCAAATCCAGTTGATTAGGAGCCACCAAATTTAGTTTCTCCAGGTCAATTACAAGAGCTAGAAAACTCTAGAACAGCAAACGAAAATCAAACATATCAGTAATTTGTTCTCTATCAGAAGCAACAAAACAACCCAGAAAATACTGTGGGGAGGTCATAAAGGCTGTATAAGCAACGTAGGGACGTTACCTTCTGACACACTAAGAAAATATTCTGAAAGGTATAAGAATTCTTGGTATTATCACAGGAATAACAGAAACTAGAAAGTGATACTCTTAAAAATCAATCTTAAATTTTTGAGGAAACAGTTTTGCATTTCATTTTTGCTACAAAGCCAGTCACTGGGAACATCACCTCACATGCCACTAAGCAAGAGTCAAGAAAAGCTTTGTGAAATTTGCAGGGCCTCTCCTTCCTTTATCAAAGAAAAAGAAAATATCTTGAAGAAGACAGAAATCTTCAGTCTTCTATGCACAGTGGTCAAGTTTTCTGAATCCTCTCTACTGACTTTCTGCTTTCTCAGAGGATTTAAATATTCAGAATACAAAGGTACAGAGAAAGGCATAATTAAAATAAATCTGTTCTTTGTAAGTGAAGCAGAGCACAAACATAAAAAGTGACTTTGCAATTCAAGATACATTTCAAATGATTATTGGTTTCAGATCCTTCTTATATGAGCTTTCAGGTCAGTATTACTGAAGACTTTTTAAAAATGCCTTCTGCCTGTGAGGTTCATTCTAACACTATGCATCTAGATACAGCAAGCACTGTTCCCTCTTTTCCATGCTTCCTTCCTTGAATTAAAAAACAACAAAATGAAATAGAAGCCACTACTCTGTGTCCACTTTCTGTCTTTCTACTCCTGCCTCACTACCCCTTGCAGCGCTGTCTCCTCTCCTTTGATCTCTAGCTACTTGCCTTTTTACTTTGATCTCTCATTGCTCCAGGGGAGAATACCAGAAAAACATACCTTATCTTTTGCCATTTTCATCCGAGGTGTATAATCTCTAAGTAGAAAAAGAAGAGAACCCACTTCCTCTTTTTCCAGATTCTCATTTATTTCTACCATTAGCACCCTGAAAAAAAGTTGAGATATTTCTAAAGGATTACCTTGAAGCAAGATCCCTCCCTTGCCCAACTACTGAACTTCTCCCATGTTCCAGTCTTAATGCATCATTTCCAATTAATAAACAGGCAAAAAACCTACCCTGCTACAAGATCCTACTCTTGCTAATTAGGACCCGCCTTACTCACACTGACTGTGTAATAGCCACTGTTAGGAAGACAAAAGTTTTCTTAATGTTTCAATAGAGAATGAGACAACAGAACACATCTTTAACTTTTTTACCTATTAGGTACAGGGTTTTTATTTTAGTGAGAAGTTAACATAGGAAAATCTTCCTTGTGAGTATATGTATTTCTTTCTGGAGTCTCTCAAAGAAAATAACTGGGACTTCTTAATTTTAGCCTCTCGAAACTAAGAGAGTAAAAAATAGTAAGAAAGGTCCCTTGAGAAAAGCTATACCACATGGCTATGTGCCCAAAGCAAACTAGAAAATACCTCTAACTAATGATGTCCCTTTAAAGTGGCATTTTTATCTGCTAATCTACGATTCTACAGATATCATTGGTTTTACTGACTAACATACAAACTCCTGAAATATAGATACTTCTAATGTCACGACTTGTGAGAAACTACTAAGGTTTAATTTAAGGACTAAACCTGACATATTCTTTTCACTGTAACTCTAGATATAATGCTCTTTTCTGCTTTTCTTTTACCTTTAACAACTTTTAAAAAAATAAATAAAAACCCAACCCTCCCATCCCTCTCTGAAACTAAGAAAAGTCTCCCACTTACTTTGAACAAGATACCATAGCTTTGAAATCTGAAATAGATATATTACCTGTAATCAGGGATAAGTCTGAGACTCCTGGTAAGGTGAGCTTCCACTGTTGCTTTCTCAGTGTTCAAGATCCTCCTCAGTAAGTCAAACCTTTTAACTCTGTATAGCAGCTCAGACAAGCCAACAGGAGACAGTTTCTCCCTCTCATTCAAAGCTGCCAAGATCTCTCTAAGATCGGCAGAGGCCAAGTCAGGAGCAAGGTCTCGGCACAAGAAAACCATCATCTCTTCTTCTTCTTTATCCAGTTCTTCTTGAATCTGGTGAATAAGGGCAGCTGGCACTTGGCACGCAGTCATCACTCTGTTGCTGTGCCTTTAAAATTGTCAGCCTACTGGTTATAAACAGGAAACCAACATGACATGAAGCCCATGTCTATCGCAGCACTTCTCTGGTGTTCATTCTTAACTAGGTGCATTTTTACAAAAGTAGTTCTGTGGAAGAGAATTAAGAGTTAATAAATCAGGGATCTGCTGCACAAGTTCACAGTTAACTCTCCTAACTGAAGTATTTTGCTTTCAACTAAAACTCCAACTTACTCTTCACAGACCTCCTGTGTTCAAGGGACTCTCCCAGCTGTTCATTACAGAACTAAAGGTACTTGGTAGATCATACTAATCAGAAAGACATGTGAGTTCTTTTTAAAGTGAATTACATTAACACCAATCTGTAAATTCCATAGGAAGTGAAACAAAAATCAGCTTGCTGATGAGTGGTACTTCAAGTATTTCTGAAAGCTCTGACTTCTTCCCAGCAACCCTCCATCCCTCTGCTCATCACCCTTTTCTCCCCTCAAAGTCTCAAGGCATTTTTCAGGAAGCTAAAAGGTAGTACAATAATATATAGTAAATGAAAGAATGAAAAAAAACCCCACATATAAAACCACTGCTATCAGGCATGCACTTGGTCTTGAATGAAGTAAAAATTAAGGAAATATTCACAAGATAACATGTAATATTTTAAAATGCTAATTAGCTGTAAATACAGAAGCATGTGGATTTTCTTACTTATTGGCATCATTCAAAGTGATTGCAATCTGAATGAGTTACTCGGGTTTTAAGGACTCTCCATACACACCCTTCATGCTCAAAAAGGTAGGAGAACTGCTCAAAGAAAAAATTCCAACCTTCAATATGCAAATTGGTTAACTTTGAAGGTATAGATAAGCCACAGACTGCCTTTTTCTTCATGTAACATTCATGTGTCACCATACTGAAAACTGAAATAAAAACTCCACCTTAGAAAAACCCCCAGCCCTGTGATTAACAAAATCAGTAGGGTGCTATGCTCAACTTCCACTGCCACCAACTCTGGAAATTCTATCTAGCCTCCTCTGATCTCTATTACATACATGGAGAAAGGTGAGATGAGCAACCTGAAGACAGATCTTAGTCCTTAAAAGGAGTTTGATCACTAAACTGCATACTTTTGTTTAAACTGTACTGGGAAGCAAAAGCCAACACAACTTCAAAGCCTAACACACTGAAGATTCTAGCACCTGAGGAAGATTTTTTTAAAGCATTTTCAGCCTTTAGTTAGACCTTCTGGAAGTTACAAGCAACAATGTCATATATTGTGTTCATAAATGAAGCAGATGAGATAAACTCATGTATAAGCCTTCCTCGCCCGCCAAGTGCTGTTTAAATGAAAAATAACTCTACAGATCTACTTGACTTTCCTCAGAAAGGAAGTAAGAAACAGATTTGGTTAAACCCATGGACTGAGTGTCACTGCCCACTAAAAGAGTGTATCAGAGGATAAGAAGAGGAACTCCTCATACACTCTAATGTGTTTTGGAGAATGTTCTATCAGAGAAAAAGCATATTAACAGCTAACTTATTTTCAATCTAGCATCAAACATTGGTGAGAATTCCATAGATAGACACAGACTGTTTTCATGCCATAATGCAGTCAAGAAAGGGGAGACAGAAAACACTTTCATATGAAAGTATCTCCCAGATACATTCAGCTGGGACTTTCGAAAGGACTTGAGGAAGTTTTATTTATGACTCACTCTAAAGCAAACAGGAATTTAACAACTTTTGGCCATTTTCAGAAATCTCAAAAAAACTTTTTAACTATTCCAGTTGATTATTTCTAGTCTTTTAAAACTAGTTAAAAAAAGAGGGAGAGTGTGTGTGTGTGTGTGTGTGTGTTAGGGAGTAATTTCCTACAGAGTTGAGATTTCAGACATGCAAAATTACCAATTATATGTTACTTTAAAAATAATCTGCCTTTAAAGCACACATATAAATTACTTACTTTTGTGAACTTCCTTTATATAAGCTAAATCACATGCTCATTATAAAAAATGCTGATCATACTTTCAGTGCTGAAACTGTCTTACCTGTATGCAAGTCTGTCCACAAAAACATTGGAAGACTGGCGTTTGACCATCGCCAAATCACTGATCCAGATCCAGAACACATTGGTTTCTACCCAGTATTTTCCACTGATGGTCCATAGACAGTTTATTACATCAACTCATTCTCTGTTGGACAAGTATCAAGACCAAAAATTATTGTGGGGAGCCTAATTTCTAATTTTATGGAAGGGGGGGAAACAAAAGAAAAATGACGTGGGATCATGTGTTCTTTTGTATGATTCCACTGGACCAGGAATGATGCTCTAAATAAAAGGAAAAACAACTGTGCACACACAGTGATTGCCAATAACATTCACTGGATACTGTGTGCAGAATGAGCAAGAGCAACATGAAGTAAGTTTTTAGTATAAACTAAACCAGTTTATAACTTTGCAACCAAGCACCATGTGCTCATATTTTGATAGCAGATATGTCACAGGACTGGGGAAAGCCCAGTGCATTCCATGTGCTTTTATCTAAGCCAGATCCACTTCACTCGAAGAGATGAAGGGGCCATCTGATGACTTTTTCAAACATCACAGATACAGTTATCATAGCTGCAATAATTAAAGAAAAAGCAAAAAGCAATGGCACCATAAAACTGAGCAGGCTGGCTTTTTATTTAGATTACCTGGGCCCTGCAACAGGACCTACACTGAATGTAGGTTCTCTACAAAGAGGAGAAAAAAAACCAACTTATCTTCTAAGACAAAATAAAAAAGTTCATATTCAGAGATAAAACTGCCCCAATAATTTGTGTGTTCACGTGCATGTGTAATCAAGGATTTTTTTTTTCCCCCACACCCTTGCAAGGAGCAGGAAATAACACCCTACTAAAACTTCACACACAAAGAAAGATGCACAAGGGTCCAGTTAACTCCCTGCTTGCCATTTTGTATCTCGAACGTTGCACAGTCATCTTTCCGGCAACAAAACCAGGATATAACCCCAGTGGGTGCGGCTGATGTGGAAAACGATCCTTGTTTCCCAAGATGAGTTCATGTGGAATACTCCACGCTAGCAGGAGGTGAGCTGGCGACGAACGGCGCTGGGTGGGCTTTGTGCCTCCTCCGTTCTGCTTTGTTTGAAAAGGCGGGGCGGAGGAAGGACTGCCGCTGCCATCTGGCATTTTTCAAAGTTCGCTATTTCCTCATCGCTCTATGACCTCTAACAGAAGGACTTCTGCGAGGTACTCAGGAAAAACAGGGAATTCCCTCGGGAACTTTCGCATTCCTTATTATTCTATTAGGCCTAAATAGTTTTCTCACAGCGTAAACTAGTAGTGCCCGCGCTAAGTTTTTTAGATATGCATTGCTTTTAACGCCCCAGTCCTCCTAACAATACCCCCCACCCCAGCAACGCACACAAAACAACAACTAGACGTGGTTTATGTAGTTTTCCACTCCAATTTCTAACTACGTCATTTCAGACCGCATTCGGTTCCGGTTTCCCCCGCGAGCCAAGGCCAGGCTCAGGCCCCGCTGGCGCCGGACGCTTCGGCTCCAGCCCGCCGCTCTCTCGGACACAGGGGAGAGGACCCGACCCCGGAGCACGGTGTGTTAGCCGCCTACACTGAGAGCGCAGCGTGAGAAGGGAAGTGTGAGGAAAGGAGGAGGGAAAGGTAGAACGCACCCAGACACGCCGGGGAGGTCTCATCTACAGCACTCGCGTCCGCCACTGGGAGCAGGGAGGAGGCGGGGGCGGTGCCGGGCGAGGCGAGACGGGGTGAGGAGCTGTTTTCCGTTCCGGTTGTGCTCCGGGAGACGGTGTTCGGAGCAGCGCAAATGCGCCCGCCCGGCTCCCGCACGATGGAGGCGGGGCAGGGCAGGGCAGGACCGTACGGCACCGCCCGGCGCCTTCCTCGGACATTCCCTGAGCGGCTGCCGAGCGGGGGCAGCGCTGGGATGCGATGGAATAGCCGGGGAGTGGTCCTGGCTTCGGTGTGTGCAGCGTTCGTAGGCTGTGTTTTTGTACCGCTGCCTGTACGGGGACAGACAGGACGGCTCTGTACTGCCCTGGGAGCTATTAAGTAGTAGACCATTTTTTAATGAGCAGCTGCAGACCTGAGTTCAGTGGGAGTACGTGCTTTGGCTGGGGTTTAGACAGATATAAGCCCCTACTTGATTCATGTCTTGCTCTATATGAATTCGGTCGTTCGTAGTGAGGATAATGTAGAGGTGTGTGAAAGTTGTATGCTTCCCGTTGTATAATCTTAAATAAATACTAAGTAATGCCTTGTTACTGAAGACTAGGTGTTAGGATTCCCAGCAACTTCCATGAAGCCATTTACCGAGCTGCTAGTGGTGCAGCTGGAGCTGCTCTCCAAAAGGCCTAAAATCTAAAATTCTGAGCTATTTTGTCTCCTGAACTAGACAAAAGCCACCTCCATATGTGGTGAAATTAGATACATGCAACTCCCAGCTCAATGGATTTCAAAGCATTTACAGCGAGTCATTTTTTTTGTGCTGCTAAAAATAGAGAAGTGGAAGCACAGTACTCTGGGATAGCACACACACATTCATACTGTCTTTGGAACTGCAGGGGAAAAGGAGGCAGAAAGTAATCACCCACAGTAGAATTTGGCCAGGTACCAAGCGACAGCTCTTTGTTCTGAAAAAATACCTGTGTTCTTACTGAAACTGTGTGGCCAGGCTCTTACTGTAATATCAGTCATTCAAGGATATCCCAGTATCCTGGCTATTAAGATGCGGCATTGGATTGGCACTGATTCAGAAGGAAACCATCTACCTGCTGTGAATCAATATGTACACTTTCTCCTTGGAGCTGTTCCATACAAACACATAAAGATTTGTACAGGCTAATAAAAGAGGTTTAAGGAGATGGTATGGCTGGAGACTTATGAAAGAAGAATTCTTTTTTCTTTTATGTAAGAAGAATGAGTGATTTACCCATTTAACACAGCTATTACTGGAGCTCCCAATATACTCTTCTGTTTACGTGCTCTGCTTTTTCCTTAATGTACCTAATTTTTATTAAATAGTTTTCATATTTTTATAGGCAGCATTTGGAAGTTGTATGCAAGGTTCCTCATTCTCCCCATTTCTGTGTTGAAACACTACATTGTCTTCCATAGCTACTCATGTAAACTAGAACTGTAAATTAGTATAAACTTACAACATGGAGCATAGCAGTAAGATTAGATGTGATGGAGATGGTCCTATATGTTTCAATGCAAAGGGCTCTGGATATAAATCTCTGGCTTGGACATATATCTTTTGTTATGCTTTCATAACAGGTGATATGCTTTAATAACAGGTTTGGTCTATTTAATTTTGTATATTCTCCTAGTTATGTAAATAAAAAACTCTTAAGAATTTATGTCTCCTAAAATACTACACACTTGTCTTTTATGCTATAATTTTATTAGATCAGGATGACTGTGTTCCATCTGTATATACAAATGGTGTCACTAGTTTAATTTGTTATGTGTTGGTGTTGGTTTCATTATTATTATTTTAAAAAGGCTCAATCACTAAGGGAAGTGACTAATTTTCAAGGAATTTTCCATTGGAATAATGGTGAAAGGATTAGATTATCTGGCTTTCAGATTTCTCTTTGGCCTACAATTGAGGACAGAGAATGTATAAAACATCTATAAAATCAGTTCCTTGTCATACATGTAAAACAGTTTGGATGAATCCCTGAATGTTTTGATACCCACAATGAAATCAGTAAATTTAATTGGAAGACAAGCATGGGTCCTGAGTGTATTCCTGTCAAAGCCCTTGAAGCAAATACTCCTAACTTCATTTAGCCCCACACAGAAAAAATACACTTGCATTGATGTATAAAGTCTAGCTAATAAAAGCTGATCTGGCAAAGATCTAATTGCAGGATAGAAGCTCGTAGTTTGAGAGCACAACAGAAATTTTTGTATGAAGGTTTTCAGGAGTGACTCAAGGCAGCGTAATAATGCACGGTGACAGTCTGGTATCTAAACTGCAAGTGCCTTATGTAATGAGAACACTTATTCTATTATGCTCTGAAATAGGAGTTTCAGAGAGAGACAATTTATACTGCAATGTAGTCACTATTGGAATAATTTAGCTGATTTTCTGTAACATACAAATTTGGAAGATTATGCTAATGATGCAAATATCAATAGTAGAATAAGCAAAAACAATAGATAAATCACAAGGATCTTTCCAAGGGAGCAAAAATAGCTCTTTTGACTGCTGATGGAGATCGGATTTCCACCTGCATTTCAGAAAATGGAGCATCAGATACAAAAAGAGCTTCCTGACTGTGGTATTACAATCATGTATGTTCCTTACCTGCAGGTGCCATTGCAGTTTATGACCCTGTTTTTTGCACTATAAAATATCTATGCTGTGAGACAGGCTGTTTTAATGTAAGGACAGCCATTGCTATGGTTACAGTGAAGACAGATTTGGTACTATTATTTTCATACACAGGAAATACTCCATCCCCAGGCAGGATTCGTATTATTATACATGTGAAAGAAAAATCTTTATGATTATTGTATGTCTTATAATGATGAGACATTTTTATATTCCACAATATTGGCAAAATATGTTCATCAGAAATTAAAAGCAGTTGTTTAGGGCAGTGACTGCCATCTGGCTATTAAACCACTGAATGATACCACTTTAATTCATAAATGCATGACTTTCACCTAAACTAGTCTAGTCTAACAGTGAATATACTCAATATATTTGCTCTATCAGTGAAGTGGGAGGCTTATAGCATTTAAAAAGACTGATTCTACTGCACGTAATGCTAGCTCTGGTAATTCTTTTTCTGAACAACTATCTAAAATTCTGTGCTCTTAAGAAGTTTATTCTTCGACCCAGATAGAAAACAAGCAGTGAATACCAACCTTTGAAAATGTGTATTCTGGATGGTACTGGCTGAGGGACAATAGAAATATTTTGTGCAACAGACCTTACACAGTAGGTTCTTGATTTGTTTTTTGGGGAATGACGTGGATACGAATGTTTGAGGAAACAATTAGGCAAAAAAAGTTTAGTAAAATCAATATTGGCACTATGAACAGTGCCTTGAGCAATGTCATACAAAGATGACAAACTCCACTGAACAGTACAGCTGCACTCACACAGTAACATATGTTGCTTATTCGGTCTAAGAATGAAGCTCTGTTATTATCTCACTTAAAAAGGTTGTGTGTGAATATATATATATATAAAAAAATTAGCCATGTTTTGCCAGGACTTTTCAACTTTTTTGTAAACCTGCAATTTTTGACAGGGTGACATAAAATTTTCAGTTTCTTCACCGTGGAAGTACAGTATATAATTGTGTAGTGACATTTACAGTTTCTTTTTTGTCTAATTTTGCTTTTCTGTTTAGTGACACAGATATCCTGTTGTTTGGATTGAAAAATGATATAACATATCCTCCTTACTTTGTTCCTAATGGCTTAACAAAATTTACAGTAGGATATTCAGTCAATTCTAATTCCTAGCACTGCAGAGGACATATACTGCCCACAAGCCCATTTCTTCTGTAGTCTTAATTCCAGGCATCCTTAAAGTACTCCAGAAGCTGTTAGATCATTTAAGGAAAACCAGGACATTTAAAACAAAGTATTAAAATACTCTAGGTGTAAAAATAAATATGTACTTAATACACCAGAACAAAGAAAAAAAAGAATTTTTCTTTCTCTTTTTCACATTACAGTCCAGTATATTGGAAGTCAAGATAAGGTACAGTTAGTGCTGAGTTGATTTTATCCCACTTTACTAAGCAAATGTGGCAGGAATGTAATTTTTAATGTCTGGATATTACACAGCAGATTATTTTGGTGCATAGTGCCTGCCAAGTTCATTATCTGTTTAATAAGACTAAGTATAAGCCTTGGTCTTTTCGCACATACTTTGAGGCAATTTGGGGTAGTTTTTAAAGCTCTAAGGTAATATTTTTATTTAGAGACATAAGAGCAAATAGTAACATATACATCTAAGAAATGACAGATCATTCATTACCACTTACTGGCAAATAATAGTTATTAAACCTGTAACAAATACAGTACAAATTTTCTCTTAAAAGCAACACAATTCTCAATTTTATTTAACAGAATGTTGGCAGGGCTTGAAAGAGCTGGTCTGATAGTTTCCCTTGTTCTTTAAAGGATGGTACAGCAAACCCAAGAGCAGTCTTGCGTTGTTTTTCCCCCAGATCAAGGTCAGTTAAATTGCTCTTGCTGTGTTTTTTGATCCTTCCACAAAAGTATAATAAAATCAAACAAACATGGTTTTGCCTGTGATAGACTTTAATATGCATATTATAAGTACAGAGTGAGCAGCAGGCTTATATGTGTTTCAGCTTACAATTAGTAAGTATTAAGTTGTCATATTTGATCTTCAATGATGGCCTCCGCTTTTCTTTGGAGGAAACAGTGTATATTCAATACCAAGAGCTATGACAAAAGCTGCAAATCCCCACTTGAGTCCTCTAGTAAAGACTTCTGTTATGGTGACAGGTTTTGCATAGCCACCCATAAATCTCCAGGCTTCATTACTAGAAGAAAAATTAAACCAAAATTAAAAACAAGATCAGTGAAACCACTATGATAAACACGAGCAGGAATATCTTTGTTTGTAAAGAATCCCTGCTGAAGGTATTTCAATTAGAGATACTTTGAGCCTCTATAGAATGTTCTGTCATTGAAGTACCAGGAGTTACCACATGTAAAGTTCATGATATTAACTCTTAAATCTTTACAGGTATGATTTGAGATACAAGTAACTCCAGGAAACATCATAGTTACAGGAAAAGAACCACCT